GATAAGATATTTTGTAGGGATATGCCTTATATTCTCTTGGATAAATTTTTAGGAATTCCTGTGTCATAGAATAGGTAGTTCTGCAGTTTTATAAGAATCTCTCAGACGTCTTCCTGGAGTGGCTAAACCATTTTACACCCCCACCAATAATGAGGAGAGAGCAGATTTTTGCTACCTCCCAAAGGGGCTTTCTTTCTTTCTTTCTTTCTTTTTAAAGATTTATTTTTTTATGCATACAAGAATTGGGGTACAGGCCAGAGGTGCTGAGAGTGAGAGGATTCACTAGACACAGAGTGGGGAGCAGAACAGGCAGATGGACAAAGAACACTGCTGAGGGGAGCAGCGGGTGGGTCAGGAGAGGCCTGCTGTGCCCTGGGGTCCCTCCCTAGCCGGGGATTGAACTGGTGCTGCAGTGGCTGCTGACCGCTGCATACTGCTGCGCTTTAACCCCTTGCACCAAGGGGGAGGGTCTGCAAAGTGGTTTTCTATCGTGCGCGCAGTTTCCTAACCAGACAGACACAAGGCGATGACTTCAAGGGGTGAGGACGGAGCGGAGAGCCTCAGCCTCCACCACTATTACCTCAGGCATCAGGAACTAGCCAGTGGTGCCGAGAAGCCTCGTGACTCGTGCACTCGAGTTTCTGTCAGGTCACAGTGGGGAGTCAAGTCATGGGGCAGAGGGCCCTGGGGTCACCAGCAGGGACGCGCCGCACCTGGAGCCATAACACCTGTGCCCGCAGGCAAGTGGACACATTCTCTGTTCCTTTGGGGTCACCCTTGAAGACAGGGTGAGTGAAATCATAGATGTGTGGCGATCCAGGTCTTGGTAGAATCTAAGAGGCAGGCCGGACTGAGGCCACGAAGCAGTGTGTAGGCCTCCCGTCAGCAAACACGGGGAGCTCTCCGGAAGAGGTCCGGTTTGCGGTCTCTGAGGTGGCAGAGATGGTTATTTGTTTATTTGCCTTCCAATAGGGCCCATATGCTCAGCTGAGAAAGCGTCCGCATATCTCTTTGAACGACAACAGCCCTTGTTCGATAATTAAACATTCTTTTGATAAGGACTTTATGGGCATCCTTTACAGAGCTTGCCTTTAAAATGAATAAATCTTATGGTTTTATTACAAAGGCTTGACGTCTGTCCCTTCCGCTTATGTGCGCACAGCACGAGCAAACATTTGGTCACTGGGCGTATGGTCGTAGAGCTGGGAAGTGTTTGTGAGGACGGCAATCCAAGAGCCTCGTATCTGAAGTAGCTCCAGGAATGCCTGCACAAGCAGACAAGGGTGGTCAACTGGCTGTTTTAGGACACGTGCTTCCAAAAGCAAAGCACCATGATTACACAGAAGACACAGGTAAAACACTTCAAGATGCTGACTTCAGGGGTGTCTTTGTGGACTCGGCTCCACTGACAAAGGAAACAAAGGCAGAAATAATCAAGTGGGACCCCACCGAGTGAGTGTGTCTGCACAGTGAGAGACACGGCCATTGAGAAGAAAGGCTACCTGCCGAGTTGGAGGAAATATTTGCATTCCACACACAAAGAGGGGCTAATACCTGAGATCTATAAAGAATTCATACAACTCAACAAGAAACTCAATAACTTGATTAAAATACTGGCAGAAGAGCAGAATAAACAATTTTCCAAGAAGACATTCAGATGGCCATAGGCACAAGAAAAAAGTGCTCATCATCACAGAAATCAAACCCACAGCGAGGTAGCAGAATGGACCGTCTCAAAAGACCAGAAAGAGTTAAGTGTTGGCAAGAAAATCGAGAAAAAGGGATCTCATGTGCTATGGGTCTAGCCCGTACGGAAAGCAGTAGGAAGGTTTGTCAAAATATTGAAAGTAGATCTGCCATACAGTTGCTAACAATTCTATGTTTTGCTATCTACCCAGAGAATAAAAACCACAGATTGAAAGGCTACGCGCGTGCCTAGGTTCACTGAAGCGCTATTTAAGTAGCCACTTAGGGGAACACCTAACGGCCCCCAAACAGATGAGTGGATAAAGAAGATGTGAGTCTATACCCAGTGGAATACTGCTCGACTATAAAAATTAGGACCTCTTGCCATTTGCGACAACATGGATGGGACCGGAGGGGTCATGCCAAGTGATGTCAGAGGGGAAGAGGAATATCAGACGATTTCACTTGCACATGGAATATATACAAGTTGGAATTCTTGTGCACTAGTAGGCATGTACAAGGCACAAATACTACGCAAAACCATAGCGTGATCAAAAAGTAAAAACTGTAATCCTCAAAAAAGGCCAAATCTGGGTATGTACACTAAACAATGAAAGCAAGGATATGAACGCACATCTGCACACCCATCGTTCAGAGCCGCACACTCGCCAGAGCCGAGTTAGATGCCACCCAGTGTCCACTGGTAAATGAATTAAAACACAGTCGGGTGTATGCAGAGAGGGGAGTAGAGAGACCGCAAACAGGAGGAAATGCTGGCTCACCATGCAGCGCCGAGGACTCTCGGCAGACATTATGGTAAGTGAAATAGAACACGCAGCTACTGTATGATCCAACTGGTGTAGAACAGTCAAATTCCTGGACATAAAGGAGAACAAGGTGTTCCAGAGCCACAGGGAAGACGGACGGGAATTGCTGCTGAATGGGTATGGAGATTCAGTTTTGATTCCAGGGAACAACTATGTGAACACATGGAACATTGACAAGGTGCACATCTGAAAATACAAGGCTGCAGAAAATATATGGGAAATGACCCTAGACCCTGTTCTTGAGAATGAAATCCTGGATGAACAGAAAGAACACAGGAAACAAGCTAAAACAAAACGTGAATTAAATCACACTACAGTGGTTTCCAACAGCAAAGGAAAGAATCCACAATGTAACTGACGGGATGGGAGCAAATTCTTGCAAGCCATGTATCCGAAAAGGGGTCAAAATCCAAACTATATAAAGACATCATTCATCTCAACAGTCAATAATCCAATTTAAAAACAGGCAAAGGATCTGAATCCTTTTTCCAGAGAAAACACTGACAGGGAACATTGGTGCATGACATGGTGCGCAGTTCACTAACCACAGGGAAAGTAGAAATCAATAAACAAGAAAGAAAGGAGATGACAGATGTGGGTGGCGACGTAGAGAAAAGGGAACCCCAGACACAGTGGCTGGGTGTGTGAGTTGGGAAAGCCACTGTGCAGCCAGTATGGGGGCTCCCCCTCCCCAAATTTAATATCCCTACCATGTCCAGAATCCCACTCCTGGGTAGTTTCCCAAAGGAAATGCCTCTCCCAGGGAACCAGCACCAGCACATTCATTTCAGCACTACAAGACTTGAAAACAACTGAAATGTCCTCCGTGCTGGAGTCAACAACTGTGAGTTTTTTACGATTTATTTATTTATGCGTACAGAGCTGGGGGACTGGCCAGAGGAACAGGGGTGGTAAGAGGACTCCCCAGAGACAGGGCGGGGAGCAGAACAGACCGACCGAGGAAGCACACTGCTGAGGGGAGCAGCGGGGAGACAGGAGAGGTCTGCTGCGCCCTGGGGGTCACTCCCTGGCCAGGGATGGAACTCAAGTTGAAGTGGCTGTGGCCTGCTTCATAATGCTGCGCTCTAACCCACTGCGCCACCAGGGAGGGCCTAACAGATGTGATTTTTGTCCACAGCGGAATTTTAACCCCCACAGTAAAGAAGGAATCACAGTGGGTGAAGCTGGGGGGCGTTACGCTGGGTAAGTGTGAGCAGAGAATCACAAGCATGGTATGGTTCCGATGCAAGGGAAATCCTAAAATAGGTGCCCACCGCAAAGGTCTGGCTGGAATGAGAGTTATACGGCACGTGGCGGGACTTGGAAATGGACACAAGAAAGCCAAGGGTATCAACTGCCACGTGTAGGTAAAGGAAGCCCCAGAGAGTCACGGGCCAGCACGTGCTGGGATAACAACACAGTATCACATACCTGAACTTTGCAGTTACACTTAGTCATTCTCATTCAGGAAAAATAACGTAACGATGGGTGGTGATGCTTAATTGTCTTGATTCTGCTGGCCCCCAAACACGATGCATAGCAAGTCAAAACATAAGACAACATGGACATTCTGTAGTTATCTTCAGCAGGGTAGGAGGAAAGGCATCAATTTAACATTTTGTCACCATTCCAGTTTTTATAAAACACACCCTGATGAGCAAATGTTCTTAGAACTATTAAGTAGACTTAAATAAATCCTCCCTCTATTTCCTTACATAGGGGCAGTGTTTCCTGGAGCAGCAGATCAGGACCACCCAGATGTGTGGTCCTCGAGCAGGTCACGAAGCCCGCGGAGCTCACTTTCCCCCGTGGGGACCTAGACAAGCACGATGCTGTGCTCACCCAGGACCGTGAGGCCTCAGCCGGGCCACACCGGGCCCCGCTCACACCCCACAGGCTCCGGGAGCTACTGCAGAGGCCGCCAGAGCCGGAGGTGCAAGGTCCCGCTGGAGCCCTGCGCTGTCCACGGTCACTGCCCTGCCGTGCAGCTCACGCTGGAGTCGGGGTGTCCTCGCCGGCCCCAGCCCTGGCCAGAGAGACACCCTGAAGAGCTGGGGACCCCGCCTGTGGGCAGGCACGACTCACTGAGCCAACACCTGCAGCCTGCCTGCCCGCATGAGGGATGGTGTCCCCACCGGGGTGGTGGGCACAGGCTCGCTCGCTCAGTGTCGGGCCTGAGGGACTCGGCGAGGGCCGGGCAGGGCCGGCCCTCAGAGCAGTGGGCCGGCCACTGCTAGAGGGCCTGTGTGTGGCTTCCAACACTGAGCTTCAGCGCTAAGGAACGACCAGGACGGTCTTTCATATTTCAAACTTCATCAAAGAATCAAGTAACACAGGAAAGTAAAGTGCACTGAATCTTTTCTCAAGAATATCCTAAATTTGTTGACCCATCTGGAAAGAAAGTTAAGTAAAAAGAATTGAAAGAGAAAGGTGGAGTCATTTGAATAACAACTCACTGGTCCAATATCGCATCCCGTGCCGTGAGGCCTACAGATTCCAGAGGTGGAACGGGGGTCTTGTGATTCTCTTGGCTTTGAGTCGTGCTCCTTGGGCGATCATGGATGAATCCGCCGCCTGTTTTGGCATTAGGAAATTTTTTATTGTGTTCTTGAAAAACACAATAATCACTGAGATGACAAATAAAGCGAGACGTGAGAACAGCAGGGCCGCAACATAAACTGAGAAAGGGACCTTTTCTTGCTCTGTCCCCGCGGGCCCGCTGTCTACGCTGCCCCCAAACCCGGCCACCTCGCAGAAGGGGGGGGCCCAGCCGTACATGCAGTGACAGTGCTTTCTGTTGTTGCACACGCCACGGTAGTTGCACTGCTCTGGCAAACAGTCAGACTGGAGGGCCGCCTGTCTCTCCACACACGTTCTGTTCATACACACTCGGTTCATACCGCAGGAGGTCCCGTCACTGATGACCCCCACGTCGGGGATGCCCATGGGGGCCATGGACAGATGGTAACCCACCCCCCAGCACTCCAGGTTTTCTTCCCCCAGATGAGTGGAAATGACAGTGTAGTGATCTGGTAAGCTGGGGATGGACTTGACGTTGATGCACTGTATCCTGCCACAGAGCGAATTCTGCCTGCTGCACACTTCATAGGAATTCATCCCCTTAACCCTGCAGTTCCCGTACTGGTCGCCGATGGTGTTGACAGCCTCGTAGCACTGAGAAGGAGCCTCCCGCGCCTCGGGCCCAAAGATGCTCTGGCACTGCATGTATCTGGATCTACACCCCTTCTTGAAACAACTGGCTTCATACTTGCAAGGAGTTCCATCCCGCTTATAGAGGTCCTCTGGGCACACCGCGGACCGTCCGTTGCAGTATTCTGCAAGGTCACATTCGTTTTCCTCCCTCCTGCACAGGTACCCAGGTGGACGAAGGCGACAGTTGTCACAGCAAAGCCCGGTGCTGCAGTTGGCTCCACGTCGGAGTTTGCAGTCGGCTTGGCAACACGGGTCATGTTTACACTCCTCGCCTGAACCGCAGTCACACTGCTCATTCTCTTCCACAATTTTGTTCCCACAAGTCTTAAGCTCAAAACGTGTTTCTGGGATATTGTTGAGACAATGTGCATCGACATTTGTGTAGGCCAGAAAGTCGACGTAACTACAGTTACTGAAGCCGGAGACGCCGGTGCCCATGAGGCAGCTGTTCCGGCCCTGACACACACAATACTCAGTGTCGTGCTGCATCCGGAGGACGTGGCCTAGGGCATGTGCAGCGAAAGTTACGGGGATGTGGAGATTTTTCTCTCGAAAAGCACTCATAGAGCCAGAGTCACTTGCAGAGCACACGTTGCCTGAGTGCGCTGTGATGCTGTCGAGGAAGAGCTTGGTGAAGTATAAGTGAGCCCAGTCATGTGTGACCCGAGGATTTATAGATACAGTCCTGTAGTCCACAAATTGCTTTAAAGCCAGAGATATTTCTGGAGCATTCAGGTTGATTTTGTCTCTGTCGGTCCACACTTCCAGAGCGCTGAGGTGTATCCGCAGGTGGACATCCTGAAAGAAAGTGTCCATGATCCCCGCCATAATGATGCCATCGCTGACGACCTCGCTGAGGTTGGACTGGGAGTACAAATACCTGCCGTGGTCGAAGGCCAAGGCCATCTCCAAGTACTTGGTGTGCGGGTAGCCCTGCGCCCGGTCCCTGGCCGTGGCCTGGGCGCCCTCGGGGCCCGCCTGCCTGGCGGCCCCCTCCTCGGCCAGCGGGCAGAGGTGGCGCAGGGGCCGCGCCTCGTTCTTCAGGAGGTAGACGACGTGCTCGAAGCTGGGCGAGGCCTTGAGCGGCTCGATCTGGTAGCGCCTGGCGCCAATGCTCAGCACCCCTCGCAGGCCGCCGCCCATGCACGTCGACACGGTGGCGCCGGACTCGGGGGCGCCCTGCACGGCGCCCGCGTAGCTGCAGCCCCTGGGGACGTAGGGGTGGTCCTCCACCAGCCGGCCCTGCGGCGTGAAGGAGAAAACCTGCAGGTTGCGCGGCAGCAGAAGCCGCTGGGGCCGCAGGCGCAGGACGAGCCTCTGGCCCTGGACCTGGAGCAGGTAGGACACTTGGCGGGTGTCCCCCCGCGGGCCTCCCGGCAGGCTCAGCCTCCTGGGGGTGGTGACCTCGTAGGAGTCAAAGCCCCAGTCCGCGTGGAAAATGGGCTCCTGGCCCACACAGCCCGGGAGGAGCAGCAGCGGCAGCAGCGGCAGCAGCGGCAGC